GACAGGAAATAAATGTTTGTAATAAATAATAAATAAATAAAATATTGTTGCTTACGAAACATAGGAGACCAACTAAGGAAATGAAAGAGTAAAAAAAAGTACACATACTATAAAATATCAAGTCACTAGCATATATTCTTCAACAAGAAAAGGAAAAAAATACCAAGAAAGGACACAGAAAAATGATGAAAGGACATGTTCTATTACCTACTTCAACATGGTGCAGATGTGCACTATGACTCCAGTCTTCTCTAGCCCTGAGTTCAGTAGGACTTGTTTTAAATAAATGGGAATGGGGGTGATCACTTAACTATTAAAATATAGAAATCTCCTGTATAACATTACTTAATAAAGTACTTGAAAGCAATTATGCATTTAACAGTAGATAAAATTAATTCTTTAAATCAAGACAGGAAGAGGAAAGCCAGGGGAGTTTTCTTGCTGACCTTTAACATTTCCTACCAAATATAGCAGGAAATGTCAATGCTAGACTGACTGGAAAGAATAATTACTTTGTTCAGGGTTGCTACTGTTCCATAAGAATATCACCAGCTGTATGATTAATGGGGAAGGTGTGCAAATAGACAGTACACAGAACAAAGCTCAAAAGTTCAGACATGTTAAATTATGTTCTCTCCAGAGATTATATTCCAGACAGGGAGAAGGATTAGCTAATGCTGATTATACAAACTGTTTCCTTTCTGAACCTTAAAAGTGCAGAGTACAGACTGGAATCTCGTATCAGATACGGACAGATATTCCAGTTACTTACACATCACAGTCCAGCTAAATTCACTGAATCTCTCATCATTCCTTTTAGTCATATGGGTAATAGTCCATTTATAAAAGATTCCAATTTATTTATTTTTTAAATATAGTCTTCCCTATTAGCAATATTTTCAAGGTAACTGTCATTACAGTTTAACAATAACCTTGTTTTCAGCGGCTATTCCTTCAACTCCCATCCATTTCATGAAATTATACAATCAAGCAAGCAACAATTTATGGAAGCATGCTGTATAACACTGAAAACACAAACAGGAACATTAAATATGGACCTAGTGTTGAGGGATCTCCAAGACCTAGTGTTGGTCCCGGGCAACCTCAATTTCCATGCAAACGTTGCCTTATCCAGGCAATGTAAATAACTTTAGATCAACAGTGAATATCCCCGTCAAAGTGATTGAGTGGATGATGGGCCAGCAGCTCCAAGCATTTCAATCAGGGTCTTGGCCTGGGTTTGGGACAGAGACTGCCTTGTCTGTGGAATGACCTTTGCCAGGAGAGAGACAGGGGGAGTGTGACCCAGTTGATTCTTCTGATTCATCAACCATGGTACCCTTCTGGAATAGATGGCCAGGTTGGGAGTTGGGGCACCGTTTTGTGGTGGTTCTTCTCCTACCTGGATGATCAGTTCCAAATATTGGCACTGGGGGACTATTACTCTGTGCCATGGCACATAAAACCACTGGGTAAGGTAATCCACTGGGTAAGGTGTGGGCTGAGATGCCATCAGTACACTGGTGACACCCAGCTCTACGCTTTTTCATCTGACCCAGGTGAGATGGTGGTTGTCCTGGACCAGTGCCTGAACTCAATAACGGACTGGATGAAGGCCAGTAAATTGAAGCTGGATCCAGACAAGATGGAGGCACTGTTGGTGGGCACTCCCGCTCTCCAAATGGGAAATTTTCATCTTACCCTGGATGGGGTTGCACTCCCCCTAAATGATAAGGTTCATAGCTTAGAGGTGGCTCCTGGACCCCAAGCTTTCCCTGGTTTCTCAGGTGGGCTCAGTGGGGATGAGGGCCTTTCTTCAGTTTCTGCTGATATTTCAGCCATGTTCTTACTTGGACAAGTGGAGCCTTTTCACAGTGATCCACACACTAGTTACCTCTTGCCTGGATTACTGTAATGCACTCTATGTGGGGCTACCTTTAAAAACAGTCCAGGCACTACAACTAATACAGAACATGGTGAAGCAGCTGCTTATGAAGATCAGCCAGTGAGAATACATTATGCTGATCCTCCATCAGCTGCACTGACTCCCTGTTCCAGTCTGGGCTCAACTCAAAGTGTTGTCTTTGACATATAAAGCCCTAAAGTCCTTGGGACTTAAGGGAGTGCCTCACCTACCCAACTTAGATCTTCCTCTGAAGTCTTCCTCCAAATACCCCACTACATGGGATCAAGGGCTAGAAGGGGGCATTTTCCATAGTGATGCCCAGACTCTGGAATTCACTCCCCAGGGACATACAGCTGACATCAACTTTGCTCTCTTTTAGATGCCAGCTAAACCCATTTGTTCAAACAAGCTTTTGATTAATTTAAATTGTATTTAGTTTTTTTTATTTAATTTTGGTTGTTAATTTATATGGTTGTATTTGGTTAAGTTGTGTGTGGTTTTATATAACTTTTATTACATTAGATGTTTAACAATTTACTAATTTGTTTTTATCTGTTTTTATATGCTGATTCAGCATTTGTAAGCCATCCAGAAAACACTCAGGTTATTGGGTGGCATAGAAGTAGAAAAGCATTCATATATATATTTAAAGTTACACATTTTAAAAGGCTAAAGGCCAACTGAGTGGAGCCCATCACAGTTCTTGAGGTAGGGCACAATATAGTTTGGGAGCAATACAGGAAAAAGCTGTTTCATGCAGGAGAACTTCTCTTGCAGATCTTATTACAGCAATGAGTTTATAGCAAGAGAGGTACATATAAAGAAAGCCAGGTCTTCTAAAGTTACGCCTTTAAAATGCTCCAAGCCCTTCCTTCAGAAAGAAGCAGCTTATTCTGTTTAAATACTAAGAGAAGGTTTTGAAATTACAGGAACTGAGATTTATTTGAGTAACATTAAAAGAGTAAAGTGTTGCAGTGAAGCCATGGTAATACATATAGTTAACAATCATAGAATGTAAATATTTGAAGAATGCTAGAGGAAAGAGAAAGAGAGAGAGAGAGAGAGAGAGAGAGAGAGACTAAGCAGATATGCAAATTCTATCAAAGAGAACCTGTCAAAGACAAGCATTGGGATACTTGCAAAGGTAGGCAAAGCAGAAACAAAGGGAGTATATTTTTCAGAATCCACACAGCTACAGCTTTGAATGCATGTATCATTCAAGACAAAGAAAAACAAAAGGAACTTGCATGAACAGAGAACAGAAGGACTATCAAATGCATTAAAATAACATTTCTAGCACCACTCTATGGCTAATATTTAGTACTTCTTAGCAGGGATCAATACCCAGGCAACTATCTGAGAGGTACTGGGAGAAACTGAACTTAGGGTAAGCGAACTGACAGCACAGCTTTTGAAACTCAAGTTTATTCATCTTCAATGAATAGTATCAGTGGTGGCTTGAGCTATTTTGCTGCCGGAGGCAGAAGAACAAATTATGCCCACCCTCCCCAACCAAAGGCGTATAATAGCAAAAGCTAGTCGACCTATTTGGCAGTTGAGGCCAGTGAACGCTAGTCCATGAAACTTTATTGCAATAAATCAGTGAGTCTTTAGGATGCCATAAGACACTTTACTGTTTCTGAACACAAAAGACTAAGAGGTACCTGTGCTTCTTCTCCTCTGTTCACCTTTCTCTAGCAAGTGCAAACCACTGTTGCCACTGTGCACCTACCCTAGGCTGGCCATCCGTGGCTGTACTCCAGAAAGCTGCTTTCAGAGCCAAGGAAATCGAGACACACACAAGTAAGCCAAGCCAGGCCATATGCCATATCCATGTATTAACTTGGTCCAGATCCAAACATGGTTGCTCTGATCCCCCCTTTCCCCCCTGCAAAACCAGTTCTGCCCTCTATTTCATATTAGGGGCCTGGGACAGCATGAATGAAGCAACAAGTGATGGAGGCCTTTGGCCTTCCATTGGACATGTCCTCTTCCTTGCCTGGAGCCTCACTGCCTGCAGTGGTAAGTGTAGCAACAGCCTGTGCATCTCCTTTCTGCACAATCTGGCACCAGCTTACAAGGTTTTTATTACACAGTTCTGGGCAATGGGTGTAAAGGACTTATAGCCCCCTTGATATCTTAAAATGCATCAATTCACTACAAATGACAGAAACACCTTCCAGATTCCACAGATGATATATTCTTGATACTATAGCAGTAATAATGATAATTACAAACCCTGGTCTTTTTCCAGATTCCACACATGAACAGACTTCCACATTTTAAACTCACTTAATTCATCACGGCACACCAACAATACTGCAGGAATAAAACAGATCACTTTCTGCTGCCCTGATGCTGAACATATTTACTTAAGAGTTACTACCATTTTTATAGAAAAGGATAATATATGCTTGCACACAGAAGGAAATACAAGCAAAAGGGTTCTCTTCTCCTAAGTATATGGAAGTTTTGAAAATGGAAGAATGAAACATACCATATCAAGAAACTGGTTAGGACCAAAAGGCTAAAGCTTCGGAGGGGAGAGACCGCACTCCAATCCTTATGACCTGCCAGTCCAAGCTTCACTCTGCTTCTTAAAAGGACTAGCTGTGAATTGCCACCAATGGGGAACTTACATGACTTGCAATTTTATCAAGTAAAATACTGACCAGTCTTTAGATTTCACTCCAACACTGTGCATCCATTTGTGAAGGTGCTGGCAAAACAGTGATCTTGAACTAATAGAGACAGATGAATACTCTGAGGCTGTCACTTTATGCGATGCTATTTATATTGGTCCACCCTGTATTCAGTTTCTTGATATTGGTATATTTCATTCTTAGTTTTTCAAAAGTTCCATAGGTTTAGGAAAAACAAGCCATTTTGTATTTGTTTCTGCATCACATAAATGAATATAAACATAAATATTCACAGATCTATGCATGGCAATCTGTCATATTATGATACCTAAAATCAAGAACCAGCCTCTGCAGGTGTGTGTGTGTAGGGGTTGTATTTAATGAAGCAGATGACCTTTTGCTTAGTTTTTGACAAGTTATATTTGCTAAGTACTGAAAGGGAAGTTCCTTACCTATCTTCCTCCTTGAAGTCACAGCAGTGTCACCCATCCTGTCAATTTCGTGGAGTCATGCCTCTGAGTTGCCTCCTACCAAGACAAAAAGTCTTGTAATTCTGAGTCTTATAATTCATGGCAGCTTCTTGTGCACTGACATATTCCCATATTTCTTCAATAATTCTTCCATACATTTTATAATACTAGTAAATACAATGTTAATTTTGTTAACATGACTAGCTGCTGTAAGAAACCCCAACAATCTGAGGGGTGAGGATGGCACAATATGGAATTCACTTGCTCAAGATGCAGTGCTAGTCACCAAGTTGGATAGTTTTAAAGGTGATTGGATGAATTCATGGAGGGGAAAGCTATCAATGGCTTCTAGTTCGGATAGCTCTATGCTGACTCTAGTATGCCTATGTATACTAGTTGCTGGGGAACCTGAAGAAGAGTCCTGCTTTTGGGATTCTGTGGGCAACTGACTGGCTGTATGAACTGCATGGTGGCCTAGATGGGCCTTTGATCCCACATGGGTCTTCTAAATGAAGAGGGATGTCTGATGCATATGTAATAAGTTCCATTTTATTCTTAGGCACTACTGTCAATGCCCCATTCCCCAAGCTGAAGCTGATTTGGAATTTGCAACCCACTCTTTCTGCACTTCTACTGACTCTGTACTGAAGTGCCATTTACTCAGATATATGTCCCAAATTTAAACTAGCATAATGAGATAATGAAGAGCAAGCATTGTTAGATAGGGACACCTGAAAGGTACAGTTCAAAAACTAATGGACCTGCAATTGCAATAGCAGCATAAAATTTTAAATATATATACAATTATATATATATATATATATATATATATATATATATATATATATATGAGTGTGTGTGTGTGTGTGTGTGTGTAAATATATAAATAAATTTTATACATATTTTAACATATATTTATCTTAACTAATCAGAGCACACACTTCTGGAATATGTAGCATTTAAATGAACAGCACAAGGCCCCAAAACAAAGAGGAAAAACAAAACACTGTTGATATTAAAATTCCTTGCCTGGTTGTATTGTCCCTGCTTAGGAGCCAAACAAGTACTTTCTTTGATCCAGTGAGATACATGGCCCCAGATTGTAACAAGACCTACCTTATACATTTTGAGAAGAATGTAGCTATGCTGGAAGAATCTGACAAGCTTCCAAGAAGAGAAACAGATGCTGTTTCAAAGTAAAAACACAAAGAACAGGGGAATGCTGTGTGCAAGTGCATCGCAGTGGCTAGAGTGCTAGATCTGGGCATGCAGTCTTTGCTCAGACTACAACTCGCACTGTTTTCAACTAGCATGGCCAATGGTGACCACCGGGTTGAGAAAGACCAGTCAAGGGGAAGTCACTAGTCTCCCTTTGTAATCTACTCCATAGTAATTTGTGAAGACCACACACCAACCTGAGTGCCTCGGAACAATCAGATATGGATACAAAAATTATTTCACACTTCATTAATCTTTGGATGAGTATTATTTTACTGATAAGTATTTTATTGGATGAGCCTAAGCATCACATCCTCCTAGCCGTATTCTAGCACACTAGCTACCCCTCCCTCCCCATAGCACCTCCACCATTTGAAGGGGTTATTTCTTTACTCATGCAGACTCTTGCTGCCACGCAGAACCCTGGAAAAATTAGGTTCAGCACTGCACAGAGAAACTACCCAAGCAGAAAAGGCTCCCCAGGACAGGTGTTATTCCTCCAAGAACAGCGGAGTTAGCGCTTTACAAGAAACTAGTGCACTAACCCTAGCTCCCATATTGCATCTTGCTCAAAACACTGAATGGCAGCTCAGTAAGAGCTAGCATCAAACTAACACTGCACACTGGAAAGCACACTAATGCTTTCTCAAGGTACACAGAAAGATTTTTTGTAAAGCCCCTGTGAGGATGTTGTGACCTAAGCCAAGCCATTAATTTCAGCCACCTTAATCGATTTGGACTAAGTCCAGATCCATATTCTGCTGCTGATAATCACATGAAATATACTCTGGTACATATGGAAATGGCTCATTCCTCACATCCTGACTTATTTTCGTGCAGTTGCAGCCAGGTTTTGAATCATCTGCATCTAGACTGATGCATTTGACTTGCTTGCCACATTTTCCTTGCAGCTTTCCCATGAAAATGCTACCTGCTGAATAATGTTAACTGTGTCATGCTGGGGAGCAGGATCCTCAAAAAACAGGCATAGGCACCTTCCATAAATGAACCCCTTCCGCTAATGGAAACAGATTGTTGAGCCAGTCTTGGCTGATTGAGATACTCAGCATGGAAGCAAGAGGGAACACTGGCGTAATTCAAGTGAAGATTTTCAATGACTAGAGAAGGGAAAGGCAACCCAGAAAGGAGTTTCCAGGTTCAGAACTATGGTCTATAAAGCCTGGAATAATCATCTGAACTGGGTCATAAAGCATAGTAGAGTTGGAAGGGGCCAAGAAGCCCAATGGGTCCAACCTCCTGCTTAATGCAGGTCTCCAAATTACACCATCCCTCTCAGATGACTGTCCAGTTGCATCTTGAATGCCTCCACTGAAGAAGAGCCCATGACCTCCCTAGGAAACTGGCTCTATTGCTGTATCAGTCTAATAGACAAGAAGCTTTTGTGACCTGCACTCTGGGAAGATAGAGAAGAGATCCTGGCCCTCCTCTGTATGACAACATTTCAAGTCCTTGAAGAGTGCTATCATACCTCCCCTCAGTCTTCTCTTCTCTTCTCAAGATAAAACATGCTCAGTTCTTTCTGTCTTTCTTCACAGGGCTTTCTTTCCAGTCCTCTTTATTATTTTTGTTGCTCTCCTTTGAATCTTTTGCAATTGGCCCACGTCTTAGTCTGTGAACACAATGCTCAACACAAGGCCTAACCAGTGCTGGGTACAGGGGAATTAGTACTTCATGTGATTTGGAAGTGGTGCTTTTATTAATGCAGCCCAAAACAGCATTTGCCCCCTTTTTACAGCCAAATCACTTCGCTGACTCATAGTCATGAGACTTGAAGTTACGGTCTTTACAGAGCATGTAAACAGTATTTTTGAGACGGAAAGAGCCGTATCAAGCATTTTGATTAACAAAGCAATACCAAAAGCTAGATGGGGGAGGTTAAAGTTCCTTTTCACAACAAAATTGTGAAATCTGGGAAGTCTTTCTGTACAACTACAGTAATGAGAAATGTAGGGCATTCTTACTCTTTGATCAATTCAGCATTTTTTTTTCTTTTGTAGCAGCAAGGAATAAAGACATTAGGAACCACAAAGAACTTCATATTCTCAGAAAAGTTTGGGGCTCTTTCTTGGCTTAGCCTGCATAGGCCCAGAAGGCTTTTTGAGAATGCTGTGCTGTGGTTTCAGCCCTGAACAAAACAACTAAATGTTACAGTAACGAATCATTTAAATACTCAACAGAAATTATTTTCAATCTTTGAGAATGAATCACTTTCATCATTTTGGTTAAAAAAAAGTTTCAGTGTAATTTTCATGTCAACCTCTGTTGTCATAGTACTAGACAAATGCTTCCTTGATGATTTTACACAAAAATTTATGCTGAATCGGCTTAATGTTCCAAAGACAGTTTCTAGGGTGACATCAAACACATTGGGTAGGACTCTACAGAAGCTATAAAATATGTGAATATTGACAAACATTTGTTGGGATTTCTGGTATTTGACTGTACATTCTGGAGATGTGCGGGCTTTCCTCCTCTTGTCAGAAAATATCCAACTTTTTTCAAAAAAAATTCAAGCAGGATAGCCAAGTCAAGATCTCCAACATTCCCCACTACTCCTAAAACATTTTCAGTTTATTTTTTTTCTCTCCCACTGAAAAAGCAGGTATACAGCTCTGAGGTTCTCTTTGACCCACATGTCATTAGAGGCCCAAGTGGCCTCAGTAACTCAGAGCATCTTTTACAAACTTCAGGTGGTTCATTGACTTCAGCGTTTCTTAGATATTGACTGACTTGTCACAGTGACCTATGCCATGGTTACATCCAGGTTGGATTATGTAATGTGTTATATGTGGGGCTTCCCTTGAAATAGATCAGAAGTTTCAACTAATAAGAATTTGGCTGCTACAATTCTCTGTTTAAAGAAGTCATGGTGCATCTATTGTAAAGGAAATACATTGCTGCCTATTCAATACTGAGTTCAGAGTGAAAGTGTTTAATTTTAGAGCCCTAAATACTCCAAAAACTAAAGGAATATCTCTTCCCATACCAACCTACCTGTACCCACCTTCTTTGGGATGCCTCTTCAAGGAAGGTGTACCTGATCTCAGCACTGTATTCCTTTTAGTTATACAAACATTTTAAAATATATTTTCAGCTAGCTGGATACCTATTTCTCCCAATCATACTGCATTGTGTTTAATGTTGTTCATAGTTTACCATTTTCATATATATACTGCCAAGATGCACTTTTAAATAAAGGTAGATTTTATAGCTCTTTAAATAAATGCTTAAGTCTAAAAAATTTTGCCAGATGGGCAGAGCCCTTTGAGACCAGGTGGGTTTTTTTTTTCAAGTTTACTCATTTTTAAATAGACCTAGGTCTCCCACCATTTTAGTTTGCTGAACTGAGTTGCTGACTACTCTGTCTCCACTAGATGGAAAGTTCTAAATTTTGTTACTGTGTGATTTATTGATGTTATGCTTTAATTTAGCATTTCCTTTCTTTTTTGCCCTGTAAGTTTATTAGTTGATATGCAGCCACATAAATTTAGTAAAACAGGTATGTAGAAAATGCCCCAATCACTGAAAATATTATTTGTACGGTGCCAAAATGTCATCAAATCCATACCAGGCAAGCCTTTCCGCAGAAGACATTCAAAGAGAAAGTGCCAAGCCCCCAGACACTCACTGCCTAATCACTACATGTTTCACTACAGATGATGGACAGACACAGGGAGGGCCTCTGATGACTCTAAGCTCATGGGGTTGGAGATGTCCCTCAGGTACTCTTAGGCTCCTGGCTAATCCAAGCACAGCAGAGGTCACTTCGGAGAACCAAGCCTGTGATTCCACAAGAAACTCATTTCACCAATGATGTA